GATGGTCCCAGTATGAGCCCAGCAGGGGCCCAGCTGCTCTCACTCTTTTATTCTTGACCTTTCCAGTTCTCCATTTGGGGGCAGGATGTCCTGTGGGCCAATGTTTTGTTCCCTTTGCAGTGAGTGCAGCCTCAGAGGGCTGAGCCCTCTCTGGCTGGGCTTGGCCTCTCCTGCAGAGACTCAGGCCTGGCTGGGCTGCCCCAGGCAGACGCTGCAGGAAGAAGAGCTCAGGCCGCCTGGCTCTGGTGTCCCTGGGGCTCAGCCTGTGCCCCATTGCTGGGCAGGGGCTGAGCCCCACCTCTGCCTCGGGGCCTTGGCCAAAGGGCTGGCAAGGAAGAGGCCCAGCAGCCTTGGGGCCTGCCCAGCTTTCCTCCTCCCTGGGGGCTCTCAGTCCTCCCCTGACACCGTGTGGGCCCAAGGCCTTGCTGGCTTCGGGCTCACGGCCCGCCGGCACCATCCCAGCGGCCTGACCCCCCTCCTTCCCCTCTCTCCAGCCTCTCCTGCCTTTGCTGGCAAGGGGCCATCCAAGGAAAAGCCCGGTTCTCAGCAATGGCACCTGTGGCACGGCTGCAAGGCTCGAGTGGGCCAGGCAAGAGCAGGAGCAGCGAGAGCCTGAGGAGCCAGGAGATGCCCTGGCTGGGCATCGTGCTGCTGCGGGACGAGCTGACACCTCTGCACAGTCTCTGCCCGTCCCTGCCAGCCGACTTCTGCCCAGGCTCTGGGCACGGGGAGGCAGCACTGACAGTTTTCAGCCCCCGCGCTGTTCCACAGAGGCTGTGATGTCACAAGGCCCTTGCCTGGCAGCCAGGAGATGGGCAAGGCAAGGCAAGGACGGAGCCTCGGAGCCACCAGCACGCTGTCCCCAAAGGCTGGGCTGGCACAGAAGCCCAGAGTCCCTGAGCTTGGCAGAGACTTTTGAGATCAGCCGGGGTCCAGCCTACGCCCCATCCCCAGCCTGTCAAGCAGACCACGGCACTCAGTGCCATGACCAGTCTTTGCTTAAACACCTCCAGGGACGCTGACTCCACCACCTCCCTGGGCAGCCCATTTCAATACCCAATCCCTGTTTCTCTCCAAAAAGTCCTGCTCCTGTCCCTGACAAACAGCCCCTGACAGGCAGGTCCTCGTGTCCTCTTGTCCTGTCGCCTGTTGCCTCGGAGAAGGGGCTGACCCCTACCTGGCTCCAGCCTCCTGTCAGGAAGTTGTGCACAGGGAGAAGGTCAGCCCCGAGCCTCCTCTTCTCCAGGTTGGAGAAGCCCAGCTCCCTCAGCTGCTCCTCACAGGCCATGCACTGCAGACCCTTGCCCAGCTCCATTGCCCTGTTCTCCACCCACTGCAGCCTCTCAAGGTTCTCCCTGAATTGAGGGGCCCAGAGCTGGACACAGCACTCCAGTTGTGGCCTCACCAGTGCCCAGTCCAGCAGAAGCATCACTGCCCTGCTCCTGCTGCCACACTCTTTCTGATCCAGGTCAGCCTGCCCTTGGCCTTCTTGCCCACCCGGGCACCCGCTGGCTCAGGTTCAGCCTCTGTCCACCAGCACCCCCAGGGCCTCTCCCACGGGGACCCTTTGCAGCTCCTCTGCCCCCGGCCTGGAGCTGCAGGGGGTTCTTGTGGCCAGAGGCCCCAAAGGCACCAAAGGCACTCTTGAACCTCATGCCCACGGGCTCGGCCCAGAGGTCCAGCCTGTCCAGGTCCCTCTGCACAGCCTTCCTACCCTCCAGCACATCCACACTGCAAGCCAGCTTGGGGTCCTCTGCCAATTTGCTCCTGGAAGACTCAATGCCCTCCTGCACATCCCCACGAAAAATAGGCAACAGGACTGGGCCTGTTACCCAACAAGTTCTAGTGCTTGACAAAGGAGCCCACTGTGCAAGTTTGGAGTTGGCTTCCTGCCACGTCTCCGAAACTCGACAACAGGGTCTCCTTCCCAGAGAGGGAAGGAAAAAAAACGAAAAACCAGGCAGCCAAAGTTCTAGCAAAAATATATATATATTATGTATAAAACAGAGATATACAATGAGAATTATATGTATATAAATCTATGACCCCAAATAGCTTCCCGAAGTCAAAGGGAAGAGGGGGGAAGGGAGAAGGGAAAGGATAAAATAGGGTGAAAAGGGACAAATAATAAAACAGATCTACACAATCTAAAAACCCAGCAAAGCTGAAGAATTGGCAAGAGCTCACCACTTCCCTTGAAAGAAAGCAGTACGTCTGGACACAGCCCAGCACTCCCCCCTCACGCGTGGCCGATAACAGCAGTTACTGTAGGCCTCAGCTCCAGATAAGCCAGGCCCAGACAGGGACCACCGTTCTCCAACCTCGCCGGAAGAGAAGAGAGCGAACTATCTTATCAATGCCTTATTTATACCCTAGGTTACGTAAAGGAATAGCATGGAATACTTCCTTGGTCACCTTCCTAGTTCCTTCCTGGTTACAAGCTGGTTTCCAGGAAGGCCTAGACTGAAACCATCACACCCACCCAGCAGTGGGGAGAAACTGCTGGCAGGAGATTGAATGGGGGCAAGAGACAATGGATGATGGACATGTTCGGGGCCATGGCCATTTGTTAGAAAAACAAAGTAAAACCTTAAGGCCTACCATATTTCAGAGAACCGGCAGAGAAATCTATTTTTGAGACCTGGACACCAAGAAGGCAGAATTTCTCAACCACAAAGACCCTTAGAGAAACCAGAGATGAAGACAAAACTAACACAGACAGTTACTGAGGCTCTCTCTATCCAGGGAAAAGACAAGAAAAGGACAAAAATTGTGGACTAAGTATCATGCAAAGTGAGAAATCAAGAGCCAAGAGAAGAGAGAAGAAGAATTCCTGCAGAAAACTGGTAAGCCAATGGACAGGAATTCGTTTGTCTGCTAAAATGTAGAAATAGTTAAAAGTTTTGAGAACTGATGTACAGGTGTTAGAGAGCAATTGCTGTGTCCCTTGGGTGCTGAATGAAGTAGGGTCACCTCTGGAACCCAACCAACTGCTCAGAGATTTTATTCCCCGGCTTTCACTGACAGTTTCTGGGGACCCAGATGAGACAAAGCAGCGCCGACAGGGCAGAGCAGAGGAATCGTTGGCCCTGCAGCGTGTACCAAAGGAGTTTTGGGGAGATCTTCCAGTTCCCTGGTCTGGAGATTTCACCACGCCTTCTTTTCTGGGAAAAAGAACAGGCCATGAATTTTGGGGACTTGGTTTTAAGGCCTTTTGCCTGCACATAAGGCACAGCAATGGGAAGGACGCAGCGTGAGGCTGAGAGGTTTCTGTCCTGGTTTGTGGGCTTGGGTGAGATTGGGCCAGAATTACAGGACACCTGTAAAATCTGGGCTTTGGGAAAGGTTGGGGAGGGTTGGGAAAGGTGTTCAAAGGGTGGTTTTGCCTGAGGTGTTAAACATGGGAGCGGGTCTGTCTTCCCAATTCCCAAGAGAAGAGATCCCAGAAAGCTCCCCTGCAGGTTGTGTTTTAAGGCACAGGAGAAGAGACCGAGGGTAAGGGGTTTCTTTCCTGGAGGGCAGGGCTGTCGTTCACTTGCAGGAGCCCTGTGCTGAAATTGCCAGTCTGACTGCCCAAACTGAACACAGCTGAAGATTCCTGCCAGTCAAAAAGGGCCAGCACAGAAAGCTCTTGCTGCCCATGGAGTGTCCAGGGTGGCCCCCCAACTGCATCTGAAACCCAAAGGTTCCAGGCTTTCTTTCCTGGGGGAAAGGCCGTGACATCCCAAAGAGTCCCATGGCAGACAGGTGGGGCTGCACTGTGGGGGTGTGAGGTGTTGGTTCTTTGGTTGCCAGGGGCTATTCCAGAATGGAGAGGACAGGCTGTGACATCACAAAGGGGCCCATGGCACAGGGGTTGGGCTGCACTAGGGGCTGTGAGACATTGGTGTTTTGGTTTCCAGCAGCCATTCTGGAATGGAGGGGATAGGCCGTGACATCACAAGAGGGCCCATGGCACAAAGGTGGGGCTTCACTTTGGGGTTGTAGGGTGTTGGTTCTTTGGTTGCCAGGGCCCATTCTGGAATGGAGAGGACAGGCTGTGACACCACAAAGGAGCCCTTGGCACACGGATGGGGTTGAACTGTCACATGGTGGGGGCTTGGTTCTTTGGTTTCCAGAGGCCATTCCAGAATGGGGGCCAAAGGTGGTTTTGCAGAATAAAAGGTCGAAAACGGAAATTCCGCCTCAGAATTCCCACCCGTGGCTCCTGCTTGGAGTTGGCACCTGCTCCTGAAAAAGTTTTGGGGGGGTTCCCCTCGTTATTTTAGGGGTTTGGTGCCCCAGCTGAGCGTTGTTCTGTCACCACTGCTCGCGGTGCTGAAAGGTTATTTTGCAGAATAAAAGGTCAAAAATGGAGATCTCACCCAAAACTGAGGTTGTTTTGGTCAGCCAGGTCCTGCCTGGAGTCTGCACCCACTCCCCTGAGGATTTTGGGGGGGTTCTCCCCATTGTTTGGGGTATATTAAATTAGTCATCAATTCACCCCAAATGGTGGGTTTGGGATATAAAAATCAGTTAATAACACAATGATTAGCACACAGTTATTAGTTCACAATTAATAATTGGTGGTTTGGGGGCATCACAAATCATTGACAATAGACCCAAACTGTTTGTTTTTTTGTGTATAACAAAGCAACGATTTTAAAAAGCAGCTTTCAAGCTTCAGTTTTATAAACACTTGCTTTTTATTAATGCGAAACGTTGCAAAACCGGCCCCAAAATACGCCTTTTTCCACTTAAAACGGGCACCCCCGACCCCGCTCTCGCAGTCCTCAACCACGTCCGCCCTGCGCCTTTCCCGCGCTGCCCACAGGGGGGCGCAGTTCCCAAGCAGGTCCGCTCTGAGGCCGGGGAAAGGGAGGGGGCGGAGCGTGGGGAGGAGCGGCCAGTGGGAGCGAGGGGGCGTGGTTTAATCAGCCAATCAGCACGCGCCGTGGGTGAGAAGAGCGGGAGTGATGCGGAAGTACCAGGAGGGTGAGAACAGGCAATAAAAGGCTCCTTTCTCACCCCAAAACCGCCCCCAAACCGTGGCCACCGCAGAAAAAGCTTGAAATAAGGCTGAAAACAGTGTGAAAAAAGGCTGATTTACCTCCCACTGAAATGGAGGGCCAAGAGAAGCACCGGCCTGAGCTCCGCCTATTCTCCACCTATTATTAATATGGCTACATAAATGTTGTCCTCATATAAATATGGCTACATAAATGTCATACTCATATAAATATGGCTACACAAATGTCGTACTCATATAAAAATGCGTTTAAGGCAAATTGTATAAATACCAGTTGCATTTGTGCGAACCTTTTGAGCAAGTTTTCTGTGGTGCAAACCACACTTCTGCTGCTCAAAAGGTCCAAAGGATGGGGGATAGCACCGGTTCCTTGTACCTGATTTTTTGGATTCACCCTGAAAATTTCAGTTGCAGTGCTGGGGTGAAGCTCCCCCATCTGGTCAGAGATTTAGGTTGAAAGTCCTGGTTTGGAGTCTCTTAATTTCCCCTCCCACAGGACGAAGTTGTCGGGGCGGCTGCAGATCCAGTTCTTCTCCGTGTGGCACAGGGACGAGCTGATCCTGCCCTGGTTCAGGTACCCACAGGGCCCCCCACCCCTCACCTCAAACCTGCAAATGCCAACGGGACCAGAGTGAGAAAGGGAAAAGAAAAAGAAGAAAACTCCCACCAAAAATTAAGAAGAGCTGGGATTTCCCCTCCGGCAGAGAAGGGCTTTGGCTGGGGGGGGTCTCTAATCCTCTGATCAGGGTTGGGGGGCAGCGACCTCGGCCCATCCCAACCCCCCATGGAAAGCCAGGAGCTGCCTGGACACGGGGCAGGAGAAGGTGCCCATCCCAGGATGGGGCATCCCAGACTCCAGGAAATCCCTGGGGCCCATCCCAGGGCTCCAGCACGGACACAGGGACCCACCTGCCGTTCAAGGCTGTGCCATTGATCCACTCCCAGCCGTTATCCCTCATTCCCAGCCCGATCCAGTGGTTTGCTTCGCCTTTATAGCGCAGAAGGAAGGCCTGGAAGGCAAAGAAACGTTGGCTTTGGCCAGTCTTGCCTTCCCCACCTCCTCTTTCCCTCCTGTGTCCACCCCCAGCCAGACCTGGGGCTTTTCCCAAGGGCTTGGCTCCCGGCTCCAGCACTGGCAGCACTTTGGGGCCAGCCTGGGGGGTTTTGGGGCTGATTTATCCTCTTGGTTTCCCCGTGTTTCCCACCCCGGTGCTGCTGCAGAGGCTCAAGCCCAGTCCTCACCAGTTCATCCCAGTCCTCACCAGTTCATCCCAGTCCTCACCAGTTCCTCCCTGGTGCTTATGGTGGCCAGGGAAGCTCCCAGGGCCTCACACCTTTCCCGACCCGTGCTCCAATTGCCCTCAGGCTCAGAAAAATAATAACATTTTCCTTGGAAACCAGGCCAGGTGTCTGGGCACACGTGGGAGAATTCCAGCTCAGGGAAAGGGGGTCTCACACCGAGAACTGAAACACAGAAAGCTGAGTCAGACACGTGGGCAGCCCTGAAAAACAGCAAAATGGGATTGATTCCTTGGGGGTTTTTTTCCAGCAGCTGGAAGAGGGAAACTGGGGATGATTCTCTTGGAAAAGGTGTGACTGAGCGAGGAGCAGGTGCCTGGAGCAAAGTGCAGGGAAAAAAGGGAGTCACCAACTTTGGGAGCCTCCCTCGGAGCCAGGAATGTCCTGGGATCCTCCCCATGGGGGTATCTGGGTGGGACTCACCAGTCAGTGCTCCAGCCAGGCTCAAGCTGAGGATCCCCAGGAACACACTCAGAGCGAGGAGAACACGCACCTTGGGGGATGTTCTCCAGTCTGACTCGGTTCTGTAGGACCCTGGGGCAGGAAAGAGCAGGGTGAGGATGGCCTGGCTCCTCTCCCCTCTGCTTTACCCTCCTGTGCTGGACCCTCAGTCCATCCCCAACCCCACCCAGGACAGGGACCCCTCTGGGGGCTCAGGAGGGCAGGAGATCTGAGGGGGGTCCTTCAGAGGCACCAACGTGTGTTTGAGGACCTGGAGACTGATCTTCAGCCTCCAGAGGTGAATTCCACAGTGTGGAATTCAGTGCAGCTGTGCCTGGGCTGCTCCACACCCACCCAAAGGCTCCATCCCCACCCCACTGGTGCCGCCCTGGAGTGAGATGCTCTTCCCACCCCCTTCCCTCCCCTGGAGCATTTGGTTTTCCCAGCATTACCACATTTGCACTGTTCCTCTGGATCACTGCAGGTGTTCAGTGGTTCCTCTTGGCTTGAAGAATTTGGCCTTTGGGTTCCTTTCCCCATCCTTGCAGAGAAGCCTCAGGGCCCAGGGCTGACGTTCCCTGGGCTCTGTGGGGTGGATGCACTCGGCAGCCTGGGGTGGAAGGAGAGGAGAGGCTGAGGGGACCTGCAGGGAGCTGAGACCTCCTGGGCCACAGCCCAGCCAGCCAGGACAGCCCTTGAGTTGTTGGCACTGGCTCTCAGCATTATCTTGGTGCCAAGGGGCACCATCGGGCAGGGCTGAACCCACATCTGGGAGAGGAGGTGGCACAAAGGACAGAGGGAGGGGAAAAGATAAGGGAGGGAAAGAGAGGGGAGGGACTAAGATTAAAGAGGAAAAAACAACTTCAAACAAATTAAGCAGAAAGGAAAGAAAAAGACAAGTTTAAAGGCACTTTAACTATTAAAAAAATAAGTCATTGAGAGCTCACAGGTTTGCAGGGGACAGGAGCCAGTTCAGGGCTCAGGGGGGGAAAAGGTACCGGGGGCTCGGAGCAGAGTTTGTGCTTTGGGGGCCCTTTTGCAAGAACACACAGGGTGGAAAGTAGGTTGTAACAGTTCACAGCACCTGTTCTGCTCGAGTTTTCTGTTTGTGGCTCCACACGAGCTTCTTTTGCTCTGGTTCCCCCCCCTCCCCGTGCCCTCTGTTACAGGAGCACGACCTGGTTCCCTGCACCCCCAACCAACAGGGACAGTAGCTTTTGGTCCTCTTGGGTCTTGTTTAAGTCATTACCAGCACCAAATGGACCAACAGAAGCTCGTCAGGAATGTGTCCTGATAAAACAGCGATATTTCATTGCAAGGTGAGCTCTGAAAACTGCAGAGGTTTGTTTGTCAGTAAATGGATGTAAAAAAAACACAAAGCGGTTCCCTCAGAGGGGGTTTGCAGGAGGAAACTCAAGGACCTGCTCAGATAACAGCGTTTCCAGAGCAGTGGGAGGGTTAAATTGGTAGGAGAAAGGAACAAAAACAGCATGAGCCAGAAGAGGGTGGTGCTTCAGCACCCTCAAGGTTTCCAAAGCTGAACAGGACAAAGCTCAGAAATGAAAGGAAGTCATATCTTGTGACTTGGCAGAAGTCCAAGTGCATGAGTTCAGACCCCTCATTTCAAGCCACAATTTCAGTCCTACTTTAATTTCTGCGTCACAAATGTTGACTGTACAAATTCAACCAATTCCCTTAAAAAGACCCCCGAACGTTCACCTTGTAAGACCCCCCCTGGTGCAGCCCGAGCTCCTGCCCAGGTTTAATCCCTCCCAAACCCAATTCTGAGCCATAAACCAGTGCCCTGGTGAAGGTTTTAACATTTGCAAAACTGAAGTGTCAATTTGAAGCTAAAAGAGACCCAGTGCAGTTACTGATTCACCCACTCCCACTGTCATTTTTGCTCCTTTATGATGACTGTACAACTTCAACAAATTCCCTTAAAAGGACCCCCAAAGGTTCACATTGTGAGACCCCCCCTGGTGCAACCCGAGCTCCTGCCCAGGTTCAATCCCTCCCAAGCCCACCGTGGTTTCCAGCTGGTTATCTCCCCCCAAAATCACTGTTTATTCCACTCAACTGAAACAAATCAAAGTCTTTTTTATATCATTATTTGCCTCTTTTCACCACGACTTTCTCATTTCTCTTCCCGAGAAGCAACCCCTGTCAGCAACAAGGGGCTGAAAAAGCCCCAACAAAACCACTGAAGAAGCAGCAAAAATGACAAACCAGCACAACCCTGCAGCAGACACTCAAACCAACCCCACAGTAGCAAAAACCTCACTAAACCCTGTTGTAAAACTGTGACTTTTGGGGTTTATTCCCGCCTTCCCCTTCAACGTGCCACATTTAATTAATCAGGTGGTCATTGCAGCCCCCCCAGAGACAAGACCATGATGTGGGGGCTCAGCCCTGTCCCAGCCGTGGCTCACTGTGGGCAGGGAGCACCCACCACCCCGAGTTTGGCAGCCCAGGGGCTGCTCTGGAGTACTCACCTCGCAGGGCAGCTCTCAATGGGTGGCTGATTTCTCGGAACTGAGTCTGTTGAGCCACTGAGTTGGGGAGGAGAGTCAACCACAGAGGCATGGTTTTCAGTTTACAGCTCTCTGGCTGTTTGCCTGTTCCCTTGCAAAGCCACGGGGGAATGTTTCATACTTTTACAAATTTGGTAGTATTGGCTGTTCTCCAGCAGATCCCGGTGTGATTCATCCAAGGAACAAAGGTATTTGTTTTGCACCTTGCTTGCTTAAAAATATTTAAAGATTCCCAATCAAGGGATCTGTGATGGGCTGGCCCTGGTTGGTGCCAGGTGCTGCTGTCACCCCCCTCCTCACCCGGGCAGGGGACAAAATTATTCCAAACTTTCACCCCGTGAAAGCTGCACAGTTCGGAGCCAGAAGAAATGAGAAGCTGTTGGAGATTTACGACCACCATCGTGACATCTGAGAAACCCGGGGGGAGGTTTTTGGCTGAAGGGGTCCCACATGGCTGCTGCAGGTACTGGCCTATAAGGCTGGGATGGAGGCCCTGCACTTTAAATATCATAAAAGATGGACCAGAATACACCCAACCAACCACAAATATTGACATAATAATATTTATGACCTTGTTATACAGCCCTGTCCCAGCCGTGGGTCACTGTGGGCAGGGAGCACCCACCACCCCGAGTTTGGCAGCCCAGGAGCTGCTCTCAAGTACTCACCTCACAGGGCAGCTCTCAGTGACTGGGAGATTTCGCGGTAGGGTCGGTTTAGTCATAAACTAGGAAACAAACTCCGCAACTGACACAATTTCAATTGTTTTTTGCTCTTCTCCAGCAGCTTCTCAGTGTGGTTTAATTGACATCAGGACATGTCACTTCCCATTGGCTGCCGGGGGCTCTCCATCGCTTCCCATTGGCTGACAGGGGCTCTCCGACGCTTCCCATTGGCTGACGGGGGCTCTCCGACGCTTCCCATTGGCTGCCGAGGGCTCTCCGACGCTTCCCATTGGCTGACGGGGGCTCTCCATCGCTTCCCATTGGCTGTTTTTTGATCCCCCCGCCGTGGCTGTGCCGTGTGGGTGTGAAACGGGACGTGTGTGACTCACTGGCCCTTTCGCCGCCGCCGAGTTTTTTCTTTCGTCATCGTTTTACTGTTTATTGCCTTCCCCACCTGTCCCTCGTGCCCCGTCCAGCGCCGGCAGCCCCGTCCCTTCCCCTGCTCCCTCCGCCGCGTTCCATCCCGGCTCTCGGAGCCCTGGAGCTCCCGGGGGTGACGGGAGGCTGAGCCCCTTCCCAGTGCTCCCAGTCTGCCCAGTCACCCTCCAGCACCCCGGGGAGGGCTTTGGGGGGGGGAGATGGCACACAAGAGCTGCTGGGGGGTCCCACCTCACTTCTGTTTGTTTTTTTCTTCCCAAGCTGGGCAAAACTGACTTTTGGACTTCTCTGCCAGAACTCTGTCCCCTCCTCCACTCGGGTGAAGGGATTCGGGGCTGTTTTCCCCTTTTTGGGGCAAATAAAACCGATGGGTCAAGCCCCAGCAGGACGCAGCAGCCCTGCAGCCTGCGGAGCCTGTGCTGGCCTGTGCCTGGCAGAGAAAAAAAGGAGATCAGGGACTAATTAATCAGTGACTAATTAGCCTAATAAAATTGCTCCTCATTAGGGGACAAGAGAAGTGGGGCTTCCTGCTGAGCCAATGTTACCCTACAGACACGGCTGGGAAAACCAGGCATGAGCTCTGTGAAAACTGCATCTATTTTTGGACAGAACTGGTGCTTTATCGAGCAATTCTCTCATTTTGCGCTCCTTTTGATGATATTTTATCGATTCTTATCTCTTAGAGATCTTGATCAACACCTTGATCTCTTATTTTCACCATTTTTAGGAGGGGGGTGTGAGGAATGGTTTTTCTCTCCCAGCACCTCGTGCTGTGGCTCCTTGTCCTCCTTGTCCCTTCCCGTGGGTTTCCTTCCTCTGGGCACAGACCCCCGAACCCCCATCCCTCAAGGGGCCGTCAGGACGAGTCCCCCCAGCAGTTGTGGGGCTTTGAGAGGGGAACAGGAAGCTCCGAACCCGCTGCCAGTTCACACCAGCCCGGGGGGGCAGCGGCGCTTTGGCTTCCTGTGCCTTCCTCCTGTGACCACTGCGGGTCCCCGGCGCTGAGCGGCGGGACATGGAGGACCAGGACGGCTACACGGCCTTAGAGCAGTGGAGGAAACGAGGGGCTGCGGGGAGCCCCCCGTCCTCCCCGGGGGCAGGTACTGGGGGGGGTCGTGTCTGCTGGCCCCCCCCAGATCGGGGGGGGAAGAGGGACTCGGGGGGGGGTGCTGGGGGTGGGGTGATGTCACCCCTGGGGTCCCCAAGAGCTGCTCAGGGTGGGGAAACTGAGGCAGGAATTGAGGGAGGAGGGGCTGGGGGGTTTTCTCGAGGCTGTGTTTGGCTGCTGTCCCACCCTCCGAGCTGGGACCCCCCAACAGAGGGAGCAGAGGGATGTTTTGGGGGCACCCAGCTCCTCCTGCTCCTGGGCAGGGGGGGCTGCAGGGGTTTGGGGGGGGTCTCACCAGGGTGCTTTGCCCCAGGACCCCCTGCCCCGGGCTCTGGGTGGGTGAGGAGGTGATGGGTGCTCTTTTCCACCCCCCAGCTGTAGGATCTGGCTTTCCAGAACCCCGGGGGGTCCCCACCACAGCCCCCCCGCACCGTCCCCGCTGCCTCCTCGGGGCCCTCACGGCTGCCCTGGCGCTGTCCCTGGTGCTGTGTGGTGAGTTTGGGGGGTGGGAAGGGGCACCCGGACCCCTCTGCCCCTTCCCACCCCCCCCAGTGCCCCTGACCGGGCTGGGCAACCTCCTGTCCCAGTGTCCTGGTGGGTGGCAGAGAGGGCACAGCCCGAGGCGACCTCGGGGTGGGGGAACACCTCCCTGGGACCCCCCTGTGCCAGCCTGGACGGCACCTTCAGGGAGCTGAGGAGGATCCTGTGCCCCCCGCGAGGTAACCCCCCACCCCCCGGGGGTCCCATCGATGCCCCCTCCCCAAACTTAAGCCAGGCTGGAGCCTCCCCCTGTCCTCCCACGGTACCTCAGCGCGCCAGGGTCCGTCTGTCTGTCTGTCTGTCTGTCTGTCCCACAGAGGCCGAGGGGTGCAGGCTCTGCCCCGTGGGCTGGATGCTGGGCAGCACCAAGTGCTACTGGGTCTCGGAAAGGATGAACTTGTGGCACGGGAGTCGGGAGGACTGCGGGGACCGCGGGGCCGTGATGGCGATGCCGTGGGACAAGGACGAGCTGGTGAAGGGACCGAGGGGACAGAGGGGCTGGAGGCACCCCAGGGGAGGGCGAAGGGCTCCCCAGAAGCCTGGGATCACACCCCTCATTCCCAAATTCCCCGCGGTGCCCGTGGCAGACCGGGGGGAAGGGACATGGGCCTGGCTCGGTCTCGGGGTGAGGATGGAGCCTATTTTGGGGTGACCATCCCCGGCCCGGCAGCGCCACCACTGCCCCTTTCCCCGGGCCAGGATTCCCTCAATGAGACCCTGAGGAAACCCACGCGGCACTTCTGGATCGGGCTCTCGGTGCCCGCGCCCGGCATGGGCTGGACGTGGGTGAACGGCTCCCGCCCGGACTGGAGCCGGTGAGGAGCGCTGGGGGGTCGGGGTGGGCACCCCCCTGTCCCCCGAGGGCCCCCCGGGGGTGACACGGGCCCCCTCCCGCACCCGCAGGTTCCCGCAGGACCTCGGGGAGGGTCCCGGAGCCTGCGGGGCGCTCAAGGGGGACAGGATCGACCCCCGCGCCTGCGACACGGGGCTGCAGTGGATCTGCCAGACGGAGTCCGCCCGGATCTGAGAATCTCCATCGCACCCAAAACCCACCGTTAATGCGGGAGAAAATCCCGATTCCCGCGGGTTCGGCACCCACGGGACAGCTTCCGGGACAGGGGCAGGACCGCGGCCGGGGAAAGTCGCCCTGGGTGGGCGAGGCGAGGGCGGGGGGGGGAGGCGGAGGAGAAATCGAACTGCGAAAAGAATAAAAACTAAAAATGACTTGTAAAATTCACTTTCCGGGGGAGCCGGTTGCGAACAACCCCCCGATTCCCACCTCCCACCGGTGCCGCTGTTTCGGTCACCCCCCGTGCGGGTCTTTTATTGCCTTCTCTCTCTTTTTTTTCCGTTCAACCCCCCCATCTCCCTGCTCCGGGGCGGCCCTTTCGCCGCCGCCGCTCCTCGCCCGCCCCTCGTCGCAGCTCTTCAGTGACAGGGGGTGGGTCCCACGAGCCAAGGCAGGGTCTGTCTGTCCCTCCGGGCAGCTCCTGCAGCACCGCTGCGGCTCTGCTGTCGCGTTTAATTCTATTTTCTATATTTTATTCACAGCTCCCACCCCGCTCGGCGCAGCCCTTCTGGCCACCCCCGACACCGCCCGTTCAGTGACACGGGGCGGGGGGACCCCTCGGTGCAGCCTTTTATTCTATTTTACTCTATTTCTTGTCTTTTCTTCTGTTCCCACGCTCGCTGCGGCTCTTTCAGACGTGGGCGGTGGGAACCCCTCGCAGCGATTTTAACGCCCCCGCGGAGCCAAGAAATGCCGGGGAACAGTTTCCATGGTCTGGAGCCAACGCGCTGCTGCTTCTCCTGCCAGTCCCCGGCACGTTTTTACAAGCAGTGACTCAAATCGTCAGCGCTCGGTGCCCCTGGGCTCCAAACTGCCGGGGCAGGAGCCGCTGGGCACAATCCTGAGATACCTTTCCCCACTCCCCTCATCACGACTGTTGAGCTTTTCTTCACGGAAACAATTCCCCATATTAATGAAAGGCTGTATAACAAGGTCATAAGTATTATTATGTCAATATTTGTGCTTGGTTGGGTGCATTCCGGTCCATCTTTTATGGTATTTAAAGTGCAGAGCCTCCATCCCAGCCTTATGAGCAGCCACGTGGGACCCCTTCAGCCAACAGCCTCCCCCTGGGTTTCTCAGATGTCACAATGCTGGTCATACATCCCCAAGAGCTTCTCATTTCTTCTGGCTCCAAACTGTGCAGCTTTCACGAGGTGACAGTTTGGAATAATTCTGTCCCCTGCCCGGGTGAGGAGGGGGGTGACAGAGCAGCATCTGGCACCAACCAGGGCCAGCCCATCACAGATCCCTTGGTTGGGAATCTTTAAATATTTGTAAGTAAGTAAGGTGCAAAAAATGGACTTTGTTCCTTCAAAAATGAACCACACTGAGAGTTGCTGGAGAACAGCAAAACAGCCAAAGAGCTGTAAACTGAAAACCACGCCTCTGTGGTTGACTCCCGTCCTGTCTGTGGCTCAACAGACTCAGTTCCGAGAAATCAGCCACCCATTGAGAGCTGCCCTGCGAGGTGAGTACTCCAGAGCAGCTCCTGGGCTGCCAAACTCGGGGTGGTGGGTGCTCCCTGCCCACAGTGAGCCACGGCTGGGACAGGGCTGAGCCCCCACATCATGGTCTTGTCTCTGGGGGGGCTGCAATGACCACCTGATTAATTAAATGTGGCACGTTGAAGGGGAAGGGGAGAATAAACGCCAAAAGTCACAGTTTTACAACAGGGTTTAGTGAGGCTTTTGCTACTGTGGGGTTGGTTTGAGTGTCTGCTGCGGAGTTGGGCTGGTTTGTCATTTTTGCTGCTTCTTCAGTGGTTTTGTTGGGGCTTTTTCAGCCCCTTGTTGCTGACAGAGTTGCTTCTCGGGAAGAGAAATGAGAAAATCGTGGCAAAAAGAGGCAAATAATGATATAAAAAAGACTTTAATTTGTTTCAGTTGAGTGGAATGAACAGTGATTTTGGGGGGAGCTGGAGCAAACCAGCTGGAAACCACGGTGGGCTTGGGAGGGATTGAACCTGGGCAGGAGCTCGGGCTGCACCAGGGGGGGGGGTCTTACAACGTGAACCTTTGGGGGTCCTTTTAAGGGAATTTGTTGAAGTTGTACAGTCATCATAAAGGAGCAAAAATGACAGTGGGAGTGGGTGAATCAGTAACTGCACTGGGTCTCTTTTAGCTTCAAATTGACACTTCAGTTTTGCAAATGTTAAAACCTTCACCAGCCCACTGGTTTCTGGCTCAGAATTGGGTTTGGGAGGGATTAAACCTGGGCAGGAGCTCGGGCTGCACCAGGGGGGGTCTTACAAGGTGAACCTTCGGGGGTCTTTTTAAGGGAATTGGTTGAATTTGTTCAGTCACACTGGGAGGCAGAAATTAAAGTAGGACTGAAATTTTGGCTTGAAATGAGGGGACGGAACTTGTGCACTGAAACTTCTGCCATATCAAGCAGGTCCAGGCACCTGATAGTTTCATCTATAAAATAACAAGCCCTTCATCTGTAATGATTCCTCCCCCACTTTCGGGCTCAGCTCCAGCTCAGAGCTTGGGAAGGTCTGGCCTTTATCCTGTTGCACTTCAGAAACCCCCCGGATGAGGAAGCACCCCCCTCTTCTGGCCCATCCTGTGTTTGTTTCTCCTATCAATTTAACCCTCTCACTGCTCTGGAAACGCTGTTATCTGAGCACTCCTTGAGCTTCCTCCTGCAAACCCCCTCTGAGGGAATCGCTTTGTGCTTTTTTCATGTTTGTTTACCCACAATCAAACCTTTGCAGCTTTCAGAGCTCACTTTGGCAATGAAATATTGCTGTTTTATCAGGACACGTTCCTGTTGAGCTTCTGTTGGTCCATTTGGTGCTGGTAATAACTTACACAAGACCCAAGAGGACCAAAAGCTGCTGCCCCTGTTGGTTTGGGGTGCAGGGAACCAGGTCGTGCTCCTGCAACAGTGGGCATGGGGGAGGGGGAACCAGAGCGGGGTTTCCTGTGAGCAAAACAAGCTCGTGGGGAACCACAAACAGAAAACCCGAGAAGAAGAGATGCTGTGAACTGTTACAGGCTATTTTCAGTCCTGTGTGTTTTTGCAAAAGGGCCCCCAAAGCACAAACTCTGCTCCGAGCCCTTGGTGCCTCTTCTGAGCCCTGAACAGGCTCCTGTGCCCTGCAAACACTTCAGCTGCCTTTGAGCTTTGAGCTCTCAATGACTTATTTATTTAAAAAAGTGTTTTTAAACTTGTCTTTTTCTTTCCTTTCTGCTTAATTTGTTGGGGTTGTTTTTTCCTCTTTAATTTTTGTCCCTCCCCTCTCTTTCCCTCCCTTATCTTTTCCCCTCCCTCTGTCCTGTGCTGCCTCCTCTCCCAGATGTGGGTTCAGCCCTGCCCGATGGTGCCCCTTGGCACCAAGATAACGCTGAGAGCCAGTGCCAACCCCACAGGGGCTGTTGTGGCTGGCTGGGCTGTGGCCCAGGGGGTCTCAGCTGCCTGCAGGTCCCCTCAGCCTCTCCTCTCCTTCCACCCCAGGCTGCCGAGTGCACCCACCCCACAGAGCCCAGGAAATGTCAGCCCTGGGCCCTGAGACTTCTGTGCCACGATGGGGAAGGAAATCCAAGAGCCAAATTCTTCAGTCCAGGAAGAAACACTGAACACCTACGGCCATCCAGAGAAACAGTGCAAATGGGGTAATGCTGGGAAAACCCCAAACGTTCCGAGGGAGGGCAGGGGGTGGGAAGAGCATCTCGCTCCGGGGCGGCACCAGTGGGATGGGGATGGAGCCTTTGGGTGGGTGTGGAGCAGCCCAGGCACAGCTGCACTGAATTCCACACTGTGGAATTCACCTCTGGAGGCTGAAGATCCGTCTCCAGGGCCTCAAACACATCAGTGGCTTTGAAGGACTCCTGAGCCCCCAGAGGTGTCCCTGGATGGGCCTGGGTGGGGCTGGGGATGGACTGAGGGTCCAGCACAGGAGGGTAAAGCAGAGGGGAGAGGAGCCAGGCCATCCTCACCCTGCTCTTTCCTGCTCCAGGGTCCTACAGAACCGAGTCAGACTGGAGAACATCCCCCAAGGTGCCTGTTCTCGCTCTGAGTGTGTCCCTGGGGATCCTCACCTTCAGCCTGCTCATGGCACTGACTGGTGAGTCCCACCCAGGCACCCTCACGGGGAGGATTCCAGGACCTTCCTGGCATCAAGGGAGGCTCCCAAAGTGGGTGACTCCCTTTTTTCCTGCTCTTTGGTCCAGGCACCTGCTCCTCGCTTGGTCACAACATTCCTTTTCCCAAGACAATCATCCCCCAATCTCCTCTGCTAGAAAAAAAAAAAACCAACAAGGAATCAATCCCATTTTGCTGCTTTTCAGGGCTGCCCACGTGTCTGACTCAGCTTTCTGTGTTTCAGTTCTCAGTGTGAGATGCCAGTTCTCTGAGCCGGAATTCTCCCACGTGTGCCCAGACACCTGGCCTGGTTTCCAAGGAAAATGTTATTATTTTTCTGAGGCTGAGGGCAACTGGAGCACGGGCCGGGCAAGGTGTGAGGCCCTGGGAGCTTCCCTGGCCACCATAAGCACCAGGGAGGAACTGGTGAGGACTGGGATGAACTGGTGAGGACTGGGATGAACTGGTGAGGACTGGGATGAACTGGTGAGGATTGGGCTTGAGCCTCTGCAGCAGCACCGGGGTGGGAAACACGGGGAAACCAAGAGGATAAATCAGCCCCAAACCCCCCAGGCTGTCCCCAAAGTGCTGCCAGTGCTGGAGCCGGGAGCCAAGCCCTTGGGAAAAGCCCCAGGTCTGGCTGGGGGTGGACACAGGAGGGAAAGAGGAGGTGGGGAAGGCAAGACTGGCCAAAACCAACGTTTCTTTGCCTTCCAGGCCTTCCTTCTGCGCTATAAAGGCGAAGCAAACCACTGGATCGGGCTGGGAATGAGGGATAACGGCTGGGAGTGGATCAATGGCACGGCCTTGAACGGCAGGTGGGTCCCTGTGTCCGTGCTGGAGCCCCGGGGTGGGCCCCAGGGATTTCCTGGAGTCTGGGATGCCCCATCCTGGGATGGGCACCTTCTCCTGCCCCGTGTCCAGGCAGCTCCTGGCTTTCCATGGGGGGTTGGGATGGGCCGAGGTCGCTGCCCCCCAACCCTGATCAGAGGATTAGAGACCCCCCCCAGCCCAAGCCCTTCTCTGCCGGAGAGGAAATCCCAACTCTTCTTAATTTTTGGAGGTAGTTTTCTTCCTTTCCTCCCTTTTTCTCACTCTGGTCCCGTTGGCATTGCAGGTTTGAGGTGAGGGGTGGAGGACCCTGTGGGTACCTGAACTATGGGTGGATCAGCTCGTCCCTGTGCCACACGGAGAAGAACTGGATCTGCAGCCGCCCCAATGACTATGTCCTGTGGAAGGGGAAATTAAGAGACCCCAAAACAGAGTTTCACCCTAGATCTCCAACCAGATGAGGGAGCTTCACCCCAGCACTGCAACTGGAACTGCTGAGGAAACATCTCAGTTGTCTGGTTGGGAAATTTTCGCTGAATATCTCAAAAATATCTTGTATTGGAAAGCACCTCACAAGGATCATCGAGTCCAACCCTCAGTCCTGCCCAGGCCCATCCCCAGGAGTCACCCCCTGTGCCCCAGAGGATCATCCAAACCCTCCTGGAGCTCTGGCAGCCTTGGGGCTGTGCCCACTGTCCTGGGGAGTCTGGGCAGTGCCCAACCAGCCTCTGGGGGAAGAACCTTTTCCTGGGATCCAACCTGACCCTGCCCTGGCACCTCTCCAGCCCTTCCCTGGGGTTGGCATCCAGAGGGACCTTGAAAGGTCCTCCAGCAAAGCCTTGGACACTGTCTCCCAGGGCACACTCCTGGAAAAGCTGCAGCCCATGGCCTGGACAGGGTTGCACAGGAAAGCAGGGATGGAGCCGCTTGGCTTATTATTATCTATAGTAATATAAAAGCATAAAAATAACTCTTAAGTATCAGGAACCAACATTATATGACCCTGAGAGAATCTCAAGGGGAGCTCAGCAACTTTAATGCAGACATGGTGAGATGTATCCATGTGTGTGTGAAATTGTTTGGGAGTATTTTTCTCCTGCTCTGTAAATGCTTAATTAAAAAGTAGATATAGAGAAAAGTCACTAACAGGAATTTACTGCTGATGTAATGAGGTGGATAAACCATGAAAAAATTGTAATAACATTTTTTTTTGTACCACACGAGGTCCATGCCCGAGTGTGTCAGGTGGAGGCATCATCCAGCTTCCCAACCATGGGCGAGGAGAGCTGGAAAGGGGCTTTTTGGCAAACCAACTTGTGGTCACCGACACAGATATCAACATCCAAGTGGTTGCCTTTCAGGGTCCCACACCCTTCATCCAGCTCCGGCAGGTCCCCAAACCTGCACGACAAAGGGTTTATTGGCTGAGAGGAGCAAAACAAAGTGTTCCCCAGGTCCCCCCCCCCAGCCCGCAACAAAAAGGGAGGGACCAAAAGGCGGTGTTTTGCTCTTGCACTTTTTCCTGAACCGTTTCCCGCTGGAGAGTGCCCCGGCTGTGGGGCGGTTCACAGTGGGCCAGCTTGGGCAACCTCTTCCCTCTTTCCTCGTCCCCCCGCCCTTCCTCGGCGACCCCCGTCACGGGGCCCGTCAGAAATCACGAATGTAAAATGCTCCGGGTGGCAAGAATTCGAGGGCCGGCGGCGGCGAGTTGTGGGAGGCGCGTGTTTTCCGGGTTTGGGATGGAGCTGCCAGGGGGGGGGATTTCGGGGAGCGGGAGGGGGCGAAAAGGGGGATCTGGAGGGTTCGCCCTGCCCTGGGTGGAGGATGTCGGCGGTGCTGGGAGGGGGCTCTGGCGGGCGCTGGGGGTGAAGTGTTTCGATCGGTGGCCCCCGGTGGCTCTCGCTGCAGCTTCAGCGCCGGCCCCGCGCAGCCCGATCGCTCATCGCGCCGCATCCCTGGGTCACCCCCGTGTCCCCGTGTTCCTCCTCGTCCCCCCGCCTCTCCGGTGTTCCCCCTGTGGAGCGACCCACCGGCGGAGGTAGAGGCGAAACCGCCGGCGGAGGCGGAGCCGGGCGGGAAGGGCGCGGGGCGCGGGCGGCCCAGGCGCAGGTGGGATGCGCTCGGTCCTGCCGGGGCTCGGGGAGCGGGAGGGGGCGAAAAGGGGGATCTGGAGGGTTCGCCCTGCCCTGGGTGGAGGATGTCGGCGGTGCTGGGAGCGGGCTCGGCCGCCCACGCCGGCGGAGGGCGGGACAGCCCTCTCCCGCCACGAGGTGTTGTCCAGGCGCAGGTGGGATCCGCTCGGTGCTGCCGGGGCTCGGAGAGCGGGAGGGGGCGAAAAGTGGGGTCTGGAGGGTTCGCCCTGCCTTGGGTAGAGGATGTCGGCGGTGCTGGGAGCGGGCTCTGGCGGGCGCCGGGGGTGAAGTGTTTCGAGAGGCCGCCCCCCGTGGCTCTCACCGGGTCTCAGCGCCGGCCCCGCGCAGCCCGATCGCTCATCGCGCCGCATCGGCCGCGGGGTCGGGGAGAGGGGAGCGGGGGGAGCCACCGATCGGGCCGGCGGGGCTGTCCCTGTACCCAACCGTGCGCCCCCGTCGGGGATCGTCCCGGTGCCTCCCGGTCGGACAGAGTTGGCTGCCCCGTCCCCGGGAGTGTTCCCGGCCAGGTGGGACCGGGCTTGGAGCCACCGGGGCTGCTGCGAGGTGTCCGGGGCAGCGGGGGGATGGGATGGGCTTGAAGGTCCCTCCCGTCCCAAACCATTCTTGGATTGAATGACAGATCCGATCCTGCCCTCCCGTGGCTGGAGCCACCGCGCTGCTGCTTTTCTTTCCAGTCCTTGGCATAGTTGGCGTGCAGTGACTCATTGTCAGCGCTCAGTGTCCCTGGGCTCCGAACTGGCCGGGCAGGAGCCCCTGGGCACAATCCCCCTCTCTGGACTGTTCTCGATGTATTCTCTACAATCTGACACAGTGCTCCTGTTAAATCTGCACTCAAAGAGGGTTTTTTTCACCCCCAGCGATGCCTCAGGTTCAAGTTGCAACTTGTCCCTCTTCTAACTTTGCAGTGATTCAAGATATGGAGAGTGGAAGCAACTGGAATGGTAGGAATGCAGAGGCGTCCCTGAGTCTCCGGGACAGAACAGAATAAAGGAATATACACAAAATGATCCTCGGGAAATGTCAGGGTGAGTGCAGGGCCACCTGTGTCCTGTAGAGAGGGGACAGTGTTGCCCCACCAGGATGGGGCTGGCAAGTGTGAGGCTGCTCCAGGTGCATGGAAGAGGCCTCTCGGCCCCGTCAGTGGCTGGTGCCGACACTTCTGGCTGCTCTGGTGTTGGCTGGGGGGGATGTGAGGGCTGGGCCTGCTCAGGACAGCTCCATCCTCACAGCCAGTGGCTCTTTCCAGCTCTAGTCAATTGGTTCACATCCCACCAAGTGCTGACTGCATTCCTGGTGTTGTCTGTGCTTCTGAACGTGGCTTTGGTGGTGGCCGTGGCTGTGCTGTCAGGTAAGGAAGGAGCAGCTGCCTCAGCACAGAGGCAGCTCTGGGCACAGGACTGGGCTCCCTGCTCCCTGTGGAGGGGAATCCTCAGACGTTCTCCCTTTCTCTCTCCAGGAAAAAGTCATGGAGAGATTCTAGTTACACCTAAGGATCCATGCTTTGTGCCTTCTCTTGAGGCCTGGGATCAGGTACAACAGCGTCTGTTACTACCTCTTGAAGGGTGAGAGGACTTGGGACGAGGCTCAGAATCGGTGCTCCAAGCTCGGGGCCTCCCTGGCCATGCTCAGTGACAAGGAAATGGTGAGTGAGGGGCTCTGGGGGGTGTGTGGGTGGCAGAGGGGAGGCTGAGGGAGGTTCCTGGCCCGGGGCAGCTCTCACTGCCCGCTCCTCTCTCCCTCCCAGGACCACCTCCTCTCTCCCTCTCAGGACCACGTCTTCCGCCTCAATGGCAACCTGGATTACTGGCTCGGGCTGCGGAGACGGGGCGAGAGGTTTCAGTGGGTGGACGGCAGCAGCTACAACTCCTCGTGAGTCCCGGGGGGACGGGCAGGGGATGGGGGGGATGAGGCTGCTGGGACTGTCCCTCCTGGGCAGCGCTTGTCTCCTCATCTGCTGGGGGAATGGGCAGAGACGACCTGTCCTGTTAACAGCCCTGCCCTGTAACAGCGCTGTCTCTGCTCCTCATTGCAGGCTGGAGGTCCTTGGCAATTCAGAGTGTGTGTACCTGGCGGACCATAAACTCAGGAGTGAGGACTGTTCAAAGCAGCTGCCGTATCTCTGCAGCAAACCCCAACCTCACCTGTACTAGAAGTGAGGGAGAAAGGACCTTCTCCATCCTGAGGACTCACAACTTTCCTTCTTCCACTATCACAGAGATGTCCTTCTGCGGGTGATTGTTTACTTTGTGACACATCTCAGCACAACCTCAGGAACCTTGGTGCCTTTTGTCATTGTCACCTCAGTAGCTGGTCTCAAGGAAGTGAACCTGCAGGGACATGATGTGGAAGTGGACATGTGCCTTCGTGGACTAGGGGTTTCTTTCCCAGAAGTCTTTCTCATTGTCTATTTATATTGACTTTATATTTATACTCTATAACAGTTTACATACATAACACTACATGCACTGCATTCAAGCACTATAGTGCTTGAATGTGCGCGTGTGAAGTATTTTTCCATTCGTGAACGCTACTTGAATCAATGAATGTGAATGTACAATGTCCTGGTTGTGGCCTGTGGTGGTTTGGGCCAGGCCTTCCTTGGTGACCAGTTTGTAACCAAGGAAGGGTCCAGATTTACCCAGTATTCCCTACGATTTTTACCTAAGCCAGACTATAAGAAGAAAGGAGGAGAGGCCTTCGCTCTTTTTCCTTCCGGCGGCTTGGAGGTGCAGGTTCCCTGCTGTTGGGTCTGCCGTGTTGGGGAGCGAGGCCTGGTTAGGCCTTGCCGACCTTGGGAGGCGGAGGTTGCCGGCGATCGTTCCGGAGCGACTCTCAGTTGTCCCAGGAGAGTAGTGAGGTATTTTCTTTGCTAACTTTTTAGTTGTAGATATTGGGTCACTAATTGTTCCCTTTCCCTTCCCCCTTCCCTTTTCCCTTGTGAAATTGTATATTTTTAATTGTATATAAGTGTAAATATATTTATATATCTCACTTTGGTTGTTTCTCTCTCATTTCGGGTTTTCTTAGTTTTTTTTCCTCCCTCTTCTCCCTGAGGTTTGGGGGGGGGGACTTCTGGTGGTAAGGTTTGGAGACTTGGCAGGGAGCCAGCTTTAAACCATATCAGGCCTTAGCCTACTGTATCGGTGCTGCTGCTCTACTTCTCTCTTCTTCTCCTTTTTTTACATTTATATTAAAGTTTGTAAGACCCCACCGCTGTCCCTCATGTCCTGGTCAGTGCGGGAGCTGCGGGGGCCGCTCGCCCCGTGCAGGCGGGGAAAGACCTGAGGGATTGACTGCGGGTGCCGGGATTGCCCCATTCACCCTGAGGGAGCCAAGATGGCGGAACACATTCACAGAGTCGCCCTCACAGAACTGCCCTCAAAGAGTCGCCCTCACAGAATCACCCTCACAGAATCGCCCTCACAGAACTGCCCTCACAGAACTGCCCTCACAGAGTCGCCCTCACAGAGTCGCCCTCACAGAACTGCCCTCACAGAGTCGCCCTCACAGAGTCACCCTCAGAACTGTCCTCACAGAACTGCCCTCACAGAGTCGCCTTCACAGAACTGCCCTCACAGAGTCGCCCTCACAGAACTGCCCTCACAGAACTGCCGTCACAGAACTGTCCTCACAGAACTGCCCTCACAGAATCTCCCTCACAGAATCTCCCTCACAGAGTTGCCCTCTCAGAGTCGCCCTCACAGAACTGTCCTCACAGTCTCCCTCACGGAATCACCCTCACAGAACTGCCCTCACAGAATCTCCCTCACAGAATCTCCCTCACAGAATCGCCCTCACAGAATCTCTCCCACGTCACCCCCGGGAGCTCCAAGGCTCCGAGAGCCGGGATGAAGGAGGGGAACGGGTGAGGTTGTCTGCGCTAGTCGAGGCACGCGGCCCGGGAAGGCAATAAACAGTAAAACGGCGAGGAAAGATAAAGCCCGCGGCGGTGGGGAAGGCAGCCAGACCCGCGAGTCACACATTCCCGTTTCACATCCACACGGCAGAGCCAGGGCGGGGGGATCGAAAAATAGCCAATGGGAAGCGTGGGAGAACCCCCGGCAGCCAATGGGAAGCAAAGGTTCCTGATGCCAAGTAGGAGACACTGAGAAGCTGCTGGAGAACAGCGAAAATCAACTCCAGCTGTTGGGGGCTCTCCTTCCCTACCATAAGGTCTCCCAGTCTCCGAGAGCTGCCCTGCGAGGTGAGTACTCCAGAGCAGCTCCTGGGCTGCCAAACTCGGGGTGGTGGGTGCTCCCTGCCCACAGTGAGCCACGGCTGGGACAGGGCTGAGCCCCCACATCATGGTCTTGTCTCTGGGGGGGCTGCAATGACCACCTGATTAATTAAACGTGGCACGTTGAAGGGAAGGGGGGAATAAACCCCAAAAGTCACAGTTTTACAGCTGGGTTTAGTGAGGCTTTTGCTACCATGGGATTGGTTTGAGTGTCTGCTGCGGGGTTGGGCTGGTTTGTCTTTTTGGCTGCCTTGTAAGAGCTTCTGCAGTGGTTTTATTCAGGTTTTCTTCAGCCCCTTATTGCTGACAGGGGTTGCTTCTTGGGAAGAGAATTGAGAAAACCGTGGTGAAAAGAGGTAAATAATGCTGTGATAGAGAGGAATTTGATTTGTTTCAGGACTTTAATTTGTTTCAGTTGAGTGGAATGAACAGTGATTTTGGGGGGAGCTGGAGTGAACCAGCTGGAAACCACGGTGGGCTTGGGAGGGATTGAACCTGGGCAGGAGCTCGGGCTGCACTGGGGGGGTCTCACAAGGTGAACCTTTGGGACTCTTTTTAAGGGAACTTGTTGAATTTGTTCAGTCACACTGGGAGGCAGAAGTGAAAGTAGGACTGAAATTTTGGCTTGAAATGAGGGGGCGGAACTTGTGCACTGGGGCTTCTGCCATCCCAAGGAGGTCCAGGCATCTGATAGTTTAGTTTGTGAGATAACAAGCCCTTCATCTGTAATGATCCCTCCCCCACTTTCGGGCTCAGCTCCAGCTCAGAGCTTAGTCAAGGTCTGGCCTTTATCCTGTCGAACTTGGAAACCTCCAGGGTGCTGGAGCACCCCCCTCTTCTGGCTCATCCTGTGTTTGTTCCTTTTTAACCCCCCTTTTTAAGTTGTTCCAATTTAACCCTCTCAGGGCTCTGGAAACGCTGTTATCTGAGCACTCCTTGAGTTTCCTCCTGCAAATCCCCTCTGAGGGAACCGCTTTGTGCTTTTTTTCGCATTCATTTACCCACAAACCAACCTGCCCCTTTGCAGCTTTCAGAACTCACCTTGCAATGAAATATTACTGTCTTATCAGGACATGTTCCTGTTGGTACATTTGATGCTGGTAATTTACACAAGACCCAAGAGGACCGAAAGCTGCTACCTCTGTTGGTTTGGGGTGCAGGGAACCAGGTTGTGCTCCTGCAACAGTGGGCACGGGGGGAGGAACCAGAGCAGGGATTCCTGTGAGCAAAACAAGCTCAACTCAGAAAACCCGAGCAGAACAGGTGCTGTGAACTGTTACAACCTACTTTCCATCCTGTGCGTTTTTGCAAAATGGCCCCCAAAGCACAAACTCTGCTCCGAGCCCTGAACGGGCTCCTGTCCCCTGCAAACACTTCAGCTACCTTTGAGCTGTGAGATCTCAATGACTTATTTATTTAATAGTTCAAGTGCCTTTAAACTTGTCTTTTTCTTTCCTTTCTGCTTAATTTGTTGGGGTTGTTTTTTCCTCTTTAATTTTTGTCCCTCCCCTCTCTTTCCCTCCCTTATCTTTTCCCCTCCCTCTGTCCTTTGTGCCGCCTCCTCTCCCAGATGTGGGTTCAGCCCTGCCCGATGGTGCCCCTTGGCACCAAGATAACGCTGACAGCCAGTGCCAACCCCACAGGGGCTGTTGTGGCTGGCTGGGCTGTGGCCCAGGGGGTCTCAGCTGCCTGCAGGTCCCCTCAGCCTCTCCTCTCCTTCCACCCCAGGCTTCCACCCCACAGAGCCCAGGGAATGTCAGCCCTGGGCCCTGAGGCTTCTCTGCAAGGATGGGGAAAGGAACCCAAAAGCCAAATTCTTCAGGCCAAGAGGAAGCCCTGAATACCTGCAGTGATCCAGAGAAAGAGTCCAAATGTGGTAATGCTGGGAAAACCCCAAACTTTCCGAGGGAGGGCGGGGTGTGGGAAGAGCATCTCGCTCCGGGGCGGCACCAGTGGGATGGGGATGGAGCCTTTGGGTGGGTGTGGAGCAGCCCAGGCACAGCTGCACTGAATTCCACACTGTGGAATTCACCTCTGGAGGCTGAAGATCAGTCTCCAGGTCCTCAAACACATGTTGGTGCCTCTGAAGGACCCCCCTCAGCTTTCCTGCCCTCCTGAGCCCCCAGAGGGGTCCCTGGATGGGCCTGGGTGGGGCTGGGGATGGACTGAGGGTCCAGCACAGGAGGGCAAAGCAGAGAGGAGAGGAGCCAGGCCACCCTCACCCTGCTCTTTCCTGCCCCAGGGTCCTACAGAACCGAGTCAGACTGGAGAACATCCCCCAAGGTGCGTGTTCTCCTTGCTCTGAGTGTGTTCCTGGGGATCCTCAGCTTCAGCCTGGTCGTGGCACTGACTGGTGAGTCCCACCCAGGCACCTCCATGGGGAGGATCAGGGCCAGGCTCCTCCGTTTTGGGAGATGGGAGGATCCCAGGACCTTCCTGGCATCAAGGGAGGCTCCCAAAGTGGGAGCCTTTGCACTTTGCTCCAGGCATCTGCTCCTCACTCAGTCACACCTTTTCCCAAGAGAATCATCCCCAGTTTCCCTCTTCCAGCTCCTGGAATAAACCAAGGAATCAATCCCATTTTGCTGCTTTTCAGGGCTGCCCACGTGTCTGTCTCAACTTTCTGTGTTTCAGTTCTCAGTGTGAGACCCCCTTTCCCTGAGCTGGAATTCTCCCACGTGTGCCCAGACACCTGGCCTGGTTTCCAAGGAAAATGTTATTATTTTTCTGAGGCTGAGGGCAACTGGAGCACGGGCCGGGCAAGGTGTGAGGCCCTGGGAGCTTCCCTGGCCACCATAAACACCAGGGAGGAACTGGTGAGGACTGGGATGAACTGGTGAGGACTGGGATGAACTGGTGAGGATTGGGCTTGAGCCTCTGCAGCAGCACCGGGGTGGGAAACACGAGGAAACCAAGAGGATAAAACCAGCCCCAAAACCCCCAGGCTGACCCCAAAGTGCTGCCAGTGCTGGAGCCAGGAGCCAAACCCTTGGGAAAAGCCCCAGGTCTGGCTGGGGGTGGGCACAGGAGGGAAAGAGGAGGTGGGGAAGGCAAGACTGGCCAAAGCCAACGTTTCTTTGCCTTCCAGGCCTTCCTTCTGCGCTATAAAGGCGAAGCAAACCACTGGATCGGGCTGGGAATGAGGGATAACGGCTGGGAGTGGATCAATGGCACGGCCTTGAACGGCAGGTGGGTCCCTGTGTCCGTGCTGGAGCCCCGGGATGGGCCCCAGGGATTTCCTGGAGTCTGGGATGCCCCATCCTGGGATGGGCACCTTCTCCTGCCCCGTGTCCAGGCAGCTCCTGGCTTTCCATGGGGGGTTGGGATGGGCCGAGGTCGCTGCCCCCCAACCCTGATCAGAGGATTAGAGACCCCCCCCAGCCAAAGCCCTTCTCTGCCGGAGGGGAAATCCCAGCTCTTCTTAATTTTTTGGGGGGGAGTTTTCTTTTTTACCTTTTCCCTTTCTGACTCTGGTCCCGTTGGCATTTGCAGGTTTGAGGTGAGGGGTGGGGGGCCCTGTGGGTACCTCGATGACTGGTGGATCAGCTCGTCCCTGTGCCACAGGGAGAAGAACTGGATCTGCAGCCGCCCCGACAACTACATCCTGTGGGAGGGGAAATTAAGAGACCCCAAACCGGGACTTTCAACCTAAATCTCTGACCAGATGGGGGAGCTTCACCCCAGCACTGCAACTGAAATATTCAGGGTGAATCCAAACAATCAGGTACAAGGAACCGGTGCTATCCCCCATCCTTTGGACCTTTTGAGCAGCACAAGTGTGGTTTGCACCACAGAAAACTTGCTCAAAAGGTTTGCACAAATGCAACTGGTATTTATACAATTTGCCTTAAACACATTTTTATATGAGTACGACATTTGTGTAGCCATATTTATATGAGTACGACATTTATGTAGCCATATTTATATGAGTACAACATTTATGTAGCCATATTTATATGAGTATGACATTTATGTAGCCATATTAATAATAGGTGGAGAATAGGCGGAGCTCAGGCCTGTGCTTCTCTTGGCCCTCCATTTCAGTGGGGGGTAAATCAGCCTTTTTTCACACTGTTTTCAGCCATATTTCAAGTTTTTTCTGCGGTGGCCGCGGTTTGGGGGCGGTTTTGGGGTGAGAAAGGAGCCTTTTAGTGTCCGTTCTCACCCTCCTGGTACTTCCGCATCACTCCCGCTCTTCTCACCATCGGCGCGTGCTGATTGGCTGATTAAACCACGCCCCCTCACTCCCATTGGCCGCTCCTCCTGTAAGGGGGGTACTTTTGAATTAGATGATCAATGGAGCATAGAGGCGTGAGAAAGGAATCATATTAGGATGTGAAACCAGCCAGAGTATGGTACAATGTAACTTCATGGCACAAGCTAATTGGAAGGTCCATTGTGCTTTTTAGCAAGTCAGCTTGATATCCCCTCTTATCAGAGCTGAGTTCTTCCTTGGTTTTGCCACATACTGCAAGATGGATACATCTACCCTTGAAACACAATGGTAGAGGTCATCCCTAGGGGTGAGAAAGATGATGATGGGAGGAAGATGATGTGGGCAGGGGTCGCTGGCCCCTTGCCCTACAAGTAGGGCAGGCACAGACTGTTGCCATGAGGTGATGATCAGGCGGGGTTTGGCTGCCATTCAGGCATCACCTTATACTGGGTACTGGCCCCACGTGGTGTAATGTGGAACTGATCAAATGGGGTGTCGGGACTGCTGAGCTGAGCGATCCTCATCCTACCACCGAGCCTGTTGCTCCGCGGGGACGCCCGCTAAGCACGGGCACCGACCAGCTGCTGCAGATCCTGACAGCCCTGGCCTGTCTGTGGGGGTCAGCACAGTTTATTGACAGGAAGCAACTGAGAGAACAAACTTTTTAATATCCCTTTAGTGTCACTTTAATTCCTCTTTTATCATTGAATATTGTTACATAAAAAAGTTGTTCACAGTATTTCCCTTTAATTTCCCTTTTTACTAACCAAGATTGTGTTAATAGTTATCCATAATATTGTGTTAAGATCCCTTTTTTGGTATCCCGTTAACCCCCTTTTTTCACTAGTTAATACTGTATTAAATGCTGTTTGTAGTATTTGTTTTTAAGGCCACATAATAAGATATTTTGTATCCTTTTTTAGTTCTTGATTCTCTTGGCTAAGATGATTCTTATTATTATTCTCAGTGAAATAAAAGATATTTTTTGTGTTTGAATATTTCTGGCACTTCTCTTTATTCCAGACATGTATCCAAAGGAACTGTCTTTTCCCTAGATAGGGAGAGCCTCAGTAACTGTCTGTGTTAGTTTTGTCTTCATCTCTGGTTTCTCTAAGGGTCTTTGTGGTTTAGAAATTCTGCCTTCTTGGTGTCCAGGTCTCAAAAAGAGATTTCTCTGCCAGGTCTCTGACCACTGAAATATGGCAGGCCTTAAACTTTTACTTTGTTTTTCTAACAAATGGCCATGGCCCAGAACTTGTCCATCATCCATTGTCTCTTGCCCCCATTCAATCTCCTGCCAGCAGTTTCTCCCCACTGCTGGGTGGGCTCCTTTGTCAAGCACTAGAACTTGTTGGGTAACAGGCCCAGTCCTGTTGCCTATTTTTCATGGGGATGTGCAGGAGGGCATTGAGTCTTCCAGGAGCAAATTGGCAGAGGACCCCAAGCTGGCTTGCAGTGTGGATGTGCTGGAGGGCAGGAAGGCTGTGCAGAGGGACCTGGACAGGCTGGACCTCTGGGCCGAGCCCGTGGGCATGAGGTTCAAGAGTGCCTTTGGTGCCTTTGGGGCCTCTGGCCACAAGAACCCCCTGCAGCTCCAGGCCGGGGGCAGAGGAGCTGCAAAGGGTCCCCGTGGGAGAGGCCCTGGGGGTGCTGGTGGACAGAGGCTGAACCTGAGCCAGCGGGTGCCCGGGTGGGCAAGAAGGCCAAGGGCAGGCTGGCCTGGATCAGAAAGAGTGTGGCAGCAGGAGCAGGGCAGTGATGCTTCTGCTGGACTGGGCACTGGTGAGGCCACCCCTGGAGTGCTGTGTCCAGCTCTGGGCCCCTCAATTCAGGGAGAACCTTGAGGGGCTGCAGTGGGTGGAGAGCAGGGCAATGGAGCTGGGCAAGGGTCTGCAGTGCATGGCCTGTGAGGAGCAGCTGAGGGAGCTGGGCTTCTCCAACCTGGAGAAGAGGAGGCTCGGGGCTGACCTTCTCCCTGTCCACAACTTCCTGACAGGAGGCTGGAGCCAGGTGGGGGTCAGCCCCTTCTCCGAGGCAACAGGCGACAGGACAAGAGGACACGAGGACCTGCCTGTCAGGGGCTGTTTGTCAGGGACAGGAGCAGGACTTTTTGGAGAGAAACAGGGATTAGGTATTGAAATGGGCTGCCCAGGGAGGTGGTGGAGTCAGCGTCCCTGGAGGTGTTTAAGCAAAGACTGGCCATGGCACTGAGTGCCGTGGTCTGCTTGACGTGCTGGGGATGGGGCGTAGGCTGGACCCCGGCTGATCTCACAAGTCTCTGCCAAGCTCAGGGACTCTGGGCTTCTGTGCCAGCCCAGCCTTTGGGGACAGCGTGCTGGTGGCTCCGAGGCTCCGTCCTTGCCTTGCCTTGCCCATCTCCTGGCTGCCAGGCAAGGGCCTTGTGACATCACAGCCTCTGTGGAACAGCGCGGGGGCTGAAAACTGTCAGTGCTGCGTCCCCGTGCCCAGAGCCTGGGCAGAAGTCGGCTGGCAGGGACGGGCAGAGACTGTGCAGAGGTGTCAGCTCGTCCCGCAGCAGCACGATGCCCAGCCAGGGCATCTCCTGGCTCCTCAGGCTCTCGCTGCTCCTGCTCTTGCCTGGCCCACTGGAGCCTTGCAGCCGTGCCACAGGTGCCATTGCTGAGAACCGGGCTTTTCCTTGGATGGCCCCTTGCCAGCAAAGGCAGGAGAGGCTGGAGAGAGGGGAAGGAGGGGGGTCAGGCCGCTGGGATGGGGCCGGCGGGCCGTGAGCCCGAAGCCAGCAAGGCCTTGGGCCCACACGGTGTCAGGGGAGGACTGAGAGCCCCCAGGGAGGAGGAAAGCTGGGCAGGCCCCAAGGCTGCTGGGCCTCTTCCTTGCCAGCCCTTTGGCCAAGGCCCCAAGGCAGAGGTGGGGCTCAGCCCCTGCCCAGCAATGGGGCACAGGCTGAGCCCCAGGGACACCAGAGCCAGGCGGCCTGAGCTCTTCTTCCTGCAGCGTCTGCCTGGGGCAGCCCAGCCAGGCCTGAGTCTCTGCAGGAGAGGCCAAGCCCAGCCAGAGAGGGCTCAGCCCTCTGAGGCTGCACTCACTGCAAAGGGAACAAAACATTGGCCCAGAGGACATCCTGCCCCCAAAGGGAGAACTGGAAAGGTCAAGAATAAAAAAGTCACCCCCCTCCATTCTTCAAGAAATGTTCAGACCTCTTTCCTAAAAGCATCCAGGACTCGGGTCACCCAATTTTCTCTCTGACAAGGGTTTTCCATGGTTCCCCTCAATTCCCAGGTTCAAGGGGGTCCCAGCACACTTTGGGATGTGTTGGATGCGGTGTTGGGGTGCAGATGTCCCCCCAAAGCTCCCTCAGAACAGGGTGACACAAGGGGGGGTCACAGAGGGGTCCCCATTCCTGATCCATCCTGGAGCAACCACACTGGGGGCAACTGGGATCATACTGGGAGCAGCTGGGCCCCTGCTGGGCTCATACTGGGACCATCCTGGGAGTGACTGCAATACTACTGGGAGTATGTGAGAGGCACTGCAACCATACTGGGATTACTGGGAACAAACTGGATTCATACTGGAAGTGTTTGTAAGTTCCTGGGATCATACTGGGGGTGACTGGACACATACTGAGATCATACTGGGAGCAACTGAGACCATGCAGGGGCAAATGGCATCGTCCAGGCAGTGACTGAAAGTGCCTGGGGCCAGACTGGACTCAGACTGGGAGTCCCTGAGAGGGAAAGGAACCATCCTGGGGGAAACTGGGAGCAACTGGGACCACCTTGAGGGCAACTGGAATCCAATTGGGAGTGACTGGGAGTGATTGGGATGATAGTGGGAGTGACCAGGACCGTACTGGAACCATCCTGGGAGTGACTGTCAGTGACTGGGATCATACTGGGAGCAACTGGGTCATGGTTGCGGCACAAAGAACAGAGGGAGGGGAGGGAAAGAGAGGGGAGAGGGAATTTTAGAAAGGATAAAGAGGAAAGAAAGACAAAAAAAAGAGAAAAATAAGAGAAAAAGGCAAGTTTAAACATTCAGTAAATGTGTGAGTCACTGAGAGCTCCCAGGTCAAAGGCAGGTGAAGTGTTTGCAGGGGACAGGAGCCTGTTCAGGGCTCAGGAGCTGCTGCTGCCCAAAGGGAGGAAACGCCCCGAGGGCTCGGAGCAGAGTTTGTGCTTTGGGGCCTTTGCCAAGAACCCGCAGGAGGGAAAGCAGTTCCAGCCAGGGGGGCCCAGGGGCTCCCAGCATGGGCCCAGGGGCTCCCAGTCCCCCCCAGGATGGGCCCAGTCCCCCCCAGGATGGGCCCAGTCACCCCCAGGATGATCTCAGTCACTTTTAGTCACTCCCAGTCTGATCCCAGCATGATCCCAGTCACTCCCAATCTGATTCCATTCTCTCCTAGTAGGATCCAAGTTACCCCTGCAAGGTCCCAGTTGCTCCCAGTCAGTCCCAGTATAATCCCAGTCAGTCCTGGTGTCTCCCACTATATCCCAGTTGCCCCCAGTGTGGTCCCACTCACTCTCAGTTGTTCCCAGTACCTTCCAGCATGATCCCAGTTGCTCACAGCCACTCCCAGTCACTCCCAGTGTGCTCCCAGTCGCTCCCACTATGATCCCAGTTACCTCCAGCATACTTCCTCCCAGTATATCCCAGTTGCATCAGCACGGTCCCAAATGCCCTCAGAATGCTCCCAGTCACTCCCAGTATGACCCCAGTCACCCTCACTGTGGGCCCAGTTGCCCACGCATGGGCCAAGCTGCTCCCACTGAGAT